GAATAAACCAGTTTTATTTAAGAAAGGACTTGTATCGCTACAGTTTCTTCGGAAAATTTTTTTACGGAAAATCAACTAACGACCGGAGGCGTAACAATATCCTCTTTGTAACATTGTTTGATTTACATCCTCAGTGTGTTTTCTGTAGTCTGTTTCATCTGAGCATATTTTCTTTATTCTAATAGCTTGACTGTAGGTAATGTTACATTTAGTGTGAGAGGGGTGACAGCTTTTATAGTGAAGGTACTGTGGTCTGTCTGTTGGTTTTTTTGTACAAGTCGGTGTGTAGAATCCGATCATTTATAAAGACAGTAACGTCAAGAAAGTTAATTTGGGCAAGCGAGTAATCGAAGGTAAAATTGATTGTTTTGTGAACGTGAGTTTAAGTTGGAGAGTGAAAGCTTGTATGATCAGAAGATTCAACAAATTGACTAGAGGCTATAGACACCATTCACGAACTTGCAGCTTCATATTGCCTAACACATCAACTTACATAACTCCTCAGTTAAATTAGTATGTAGAGTTGATTGTTATATTTTTTACGTGATGAAAACTCGTGCAAAAAAAGGAACATAACACAAAAAAACGTCACTCAAGCTTCAGACTTATTATCAAGTTATTCTCATACACGTATCCAGACAAAGAACATTTCTATACAAAAGGAAGTCAGTGATACTGAAAGAAAAAAAGGACAAGCAGAATTCTGATAGTTTTAGATTTACGACTCGCAAACACAAAGAAATTTCTATTGATCCTCAACTTCACCAATTATAATGAATTTGTCACAGCAAAAAGTGTAATAAATGCTAAGTGACACTGGCTTCGTTCCTAGGTTTGCAACCCACTGGAGCAGCGGAAAGTTTACACTTACAACGCTAAAATCCGAGGTTAGATTTCCCCGCGGTAAACACAGCAAAAAAAAAAAAAAACCCCAAGGTGGCTTGACTTTAAAACAAATAAACAGACGACGACCTTGACAGTTTTTGATCAGGGGCTCTCAGAAACTAGGAGTTTCTCTTAGACCCCAAATGGTAGTTTGACAGTTAAGTGCTTGATGAGTTAATAAGCCAGTGGTTAACGTGGTGGTCGGAGTTTTAAGTAGTTTATGAGGTTTTCCTGGGAAAGTGTTAGTGGCTGGTGATTAATGAATTAGTAATCTTGGCAGATTGGGTTAAGCGAGCTTGATTATGCCGCCTCAAGGTGTTCGGGAAAGTCGCATCTCGAGCTGAAAGTCGCGCAGCAGGAAGGAGAGGTTGTGAATATTTGAACTGGGATGGCTACAAATAAACAGAACAAAAGTAAAACCATTGCAGTAATTTCGATTTGAAATTATTTGATCCCAAACAAAGGTTTGAAGTCAAATATAACCGGGGGTGTTCAGAAAATTATTTTCTCTTTATCCCTCTCGAGACTTAAATTTCGTGGATGACTTAATGTTGGAAGTATAACTGATAATGATAATAATTAATAACTTAATTAATTTTAAAAATGCATGTACATACATACACGTGTTACATACTTATGTCTATTCTAACAATCGAGGTGAGGAAGCAAGAAGCGTAAATACCAGGATGAATAGTTGTTATAGCCTTTCTTGTGGGTAAGTAAGCTTTTAATGGCGGTGAGAGTAGCTGTGCGTAGTGCCGCCATAAATAGCGCGCGCTATGTAGAACCGCTATGTTTCTAGGAGTGACGAGTGGATCGACGCTCCATTTGAAAATTCTGATAACGATTGTAAGTAGCGTCGCTCCATTTTTCATTACACTAAAGTCTATTAAATTTCACAAGGAGACTCGCATGACAACGACAGATCAAAGGTACAGTGTTCTATCCCTTTCTATTGCGTTTTCTTAAACTAACCTGTCATTGGGCAGCCGCAAAAATTGAGTTTTGAAGAAAAACAAAGAAGCAACATTTTTATTTTAAGTTAGTTGAATACAACTATTATTTTTTTAACTTTTCACAAACGTTTGTTTATCTATGCTTTCAAAACGCGATGCAATAAACATCACATTATTCAGCAACTGTAAAAAGTGTATTATTGTAATATGGACTGTTTCATGGCTGCTACAGTGTCATTCCGTGTGGGAAAAATGTACCACTTTTTCACTTTTGAAATCTGGTAACTGTACACTGAACTCATTCTCAGGTTTTATTTTTATAATAATGTGTTTTATGAAAATACGAAACCACCTAGTAGTGAATCCTATACATTTCTTCATGTAACAAGAACGTGTGAGTAACTAAAATAAATAATTATAAAATTCAGTTTACACATCAAACTTGAATTTGTGAATAAATTCTCCAGAATGTTTTTTTTTTAACAGGTTGAGACTGCTGTCCCCCATAAAATTCTACTATTACTTCTGCAAATTGTAAAATTTTAAAGGTGGCGCATTTCATATGCCGGAACTAATACAACTTCTAATCAAATTCTTAATTCCACTTATTTTGAGTTCTCCTTTGATTTAGTTTGTACACTGAAAGTTATTTTTGTTAGTATTACGAAAGTTGGTTTGACCTCTGATCCTTTTCTAAGAATTCAATATCCTTTCCGAAGTAAGGAACTCAAAAACTGAACACAATACTCCAATAAAATAACCTGTAATCACTGTAGTTTTTGTATGTTTGACAACTATTTATGCACCAGAATTACTTATGAATCCACGACTTTATTGTTCCTAATAACATCTGAGTAACAAACAAAACTACCGTCAATTTTATAATTAATTCTACTACTTATTGCCGAGTCCCCTATTGAGTAAAAATTCACGATTTCATCCAACTTTATTGGTCAGCTTTCAGAATGAGTTTTGTAACACTAACACTAAAAGTTAATCAATATTATGCGATATATAAGCCTCACCGATAGTGAACGGTACAGAAATGATTTTGAAAGTGGAAATGCCACAAGTACTTTCAAGGATACTATTAGCTTAGTTTTACAAGTTGTAAAACGTACCTGAAAAGTTACGGACAGACGAACAGTTGTTTTCTAGTACCTTTACGCTTGTACTCAAACGTTACACATCCAATTACGTTGGCAATCAATCTTACGTCACGCTACATGCTAAACAATGACAAGTGAGGCACCGACTAATCAAACAGCTAACGTTTTCTTATTCCACAAGGGAATATCAAAAGACGTTACGCTGAGTACGTATAAAATCTCATTGCTTTCCCACACAAACTCATGTGACCAAAGCACGTGATCTGCTCACTTACGCTGTAAACATATCTCGTTTTACACTTACAAGTACAAGCCGAGTGTTTCCGCGGTGCATTACCCTGTGAATTTATCCCAAGCTTTTTTAATATCGTAATTGTTTAGTTTAGGTATCAAAATAAGACGTACATATCTATAAAGTTACTTCTTTCTAATAACAGCCACTAAACGTTGCAGATATTCTAAAGTGGTGTAGGAAGGAAAGTGGAGGTGCTTGGCTAGACATGCAGGTTTTACAACAGATTGAAAGTGTAATGAGCTGCTAAAAGCAGCTGCCAAACGCAGGTCAATCTAGGGGGGAGGTGGGGTCTGGGGAATGAATGCAACCCAGAAAATTAATATAATAATACAATTTACAGTTGCTATATAAGTCAAATATCTCTGCTTTGAGACATGCGTTCATATACGTTAATACACATTAACGCATTATTTTATTACCTCCAAAACATTACAGATCTATATATTGTTACGTATCTGCTCGTTTGTTAATTTCTGGTATAAATTCTTTCGAGGTACTTCACCGATACAAGTTCTTTCTTAATTAAAACTAGTTTATTCTTTCTTGATACAACTTTTTAGTA